TTAGTCATTTTAAACATATTCTGATGACTAAAATACCCTCATTTAACCAGGTGGTGATGGACTCAACAGAAAATTGTTAAAAATAACTTAATGTGCTAAGGTCACAGCTCACAGGATGTGATCTTAAATCAATTGTTGACTCACATTCAGAAAGATGACTGCAACAGTTGACTCATTGACACAAAACAAACGATTCTTTAATTTTATTTCAAATTCGATTGTTGTAGACTTCTAGTTGACTCCCATTTTTTAGGAGATTCGGAGTAGTGGTCAATGCTCATCATCTGCACCTCAAAGATTACCTCCAGAAGGACGTGACAGAAGTGGCAACCAAGATGCGGGTATGGCRAGAGAAGACCAGAGGACRGATTTAGCTGAAAGTAGTGCTGCTRATAAGGGTGTTGAGGGAAGTGACAGAGATGCTCGGAACATTAGAACAAATGGATCAGATTCATCCACTATGCGGGTGAAGAATTCTGTTGATAGAATGAACAATATAGAAGGTGTTCCTGAGGACCATATGGTTCAAAACGTGCAAAAGAAAAGGAAGCGCAACTTAATGAACGATGTGCAAATAGCCCTGATTGAAACCGCATTACGGGATGAACCTGACATGCAGCGTAAAGCTGCATCTATGCAWTCTTGGGCTGATAAATTGAGTCTTCATGTATGTATGAAATATATTCTGAATAATTTTTAACTTCCATCTTTTTCTTTACATTTCTTGGCTGTTATAATTCTTTCCTGAGAAGTTTTGAATTCTTCTTTTGCAGGGTTCAGAAGTTACTTCTTCCCAGCTAAAGAATTGGTAAGAAACCCTGTCCTTTTGTTCCCAGAAAGCTTGATTGAAATTGTATATTTTCAAACCCTAAACCCTAAACCTAGTTAATCACAATATTGTCTTTGAGGTAGTCAAGAATATGAAATATATATGGAATTYGGAATCATATAGATCCTCATAAGTCATAACTATAAATTGAATTCTTATAAAATTTTCACGGACCTTAATGCTGCTGCTGCAAGCCTGCAATGTGTTCCTAAGGAATATAGCCTCTGTAAAGGTATTAACACTATAAGAACTTCATAAATGGCGTAGATTATAAGAACATGTAAGCTTTTTCAATTTATAACTCCCTTGCATCAGAAAATTGCTGGCTAATTGAGCATTTCAAAGCATTCAATTTTCACATAATCAGAACAAAGTTACGAACTTATGATGATATATAGACAGGGTCAGGTTCAGGTGAAAACYGCAAAAAATGAAAAATTGAGGAACACGTTTATTTGAACATTTGCACATGTGTATACAAGTGATTTGTAAGCAATTTGTCCAGTATGCACATGTGCATAAAAAACAAAAAATAGCTTCAATTACTTGTATGCTTATGTGCATACGGTCCAAATGAAGGGTTACCAAGGTGTTCCTTAGTATTTCATTTTTTTGGGGTTTTCCCCTGAACATCCCTCTAGGGAGAGTCAGGTTTATACGAGAACAATAACTAAATAAGAAAATAAGAAAACAATTCGAATTACATATGATTTTACACTAAAATCATGTATAAAATCACATATGATTCACACAACTTTGGCCACGACCTCGGMCGCACACCATTTTGTTGACTGTTAATGTAAAATCTCATGTGATTTTGCACATGAAAAACCGTATACCTCACTCTTACCCATCATCTCAGCTATATTCAACAATARGGATTTTGCTATTTATTTGCTCATAAAGCTGATTCATTCGAAAATATTATGAATAMAATCGACAATAATATGCTTCCTGAATTAACGATGCCTACTTACTAGTATACAACTTTCTTTCAATTCCGTGTACCATGTTGCCAAACAGGTTGAACAATCGTAAAGCCAAACTAGCACGTGGTGCAGCTGCTAAGGATCTTCATATACCTTCTGGGCAGGACGATTCTTTCACCCAAAACCAAGGTGGCTCGGTCTCTGACTCACCCAAGAGTCCTGTTGACCCATCTTCATCTGCTCCCCAASCCCAAGGGACCCACCAGAAAGACGTCGGTGAAACTGTCTGTGGTAACGAAAGCCCAAAAATCGTCCCTACAAATTCGTTTAGGCGTGCGCATGGACAATACGTTATGCTTACAAATGACCAAGGAGAAGAGATGGGGAAGGGAAACATACATCTAGCAAACGGTATATGGTTCGGAAGAAATTTGGAGGAATGGGGTTTGTGCGTTGTGGATGTTAATGATCTTAAAGTTGATATCTTGACCAATCTTCCACACCCTTGTGATGCCACTGGTACCACCTTTGGTCAAGCTGAACAGATCCTTGGCAGAAAGAGGGTTTTGTGGGATTCCACCAAACTCTATCTTCTTAATAAGRCACCTTCAAAAGGGGATTGATTTCTTGATATGACGAGACCCGAAAAAACATGAAACTTTCTGAACGTATTAAGCCGTTGAAGAAGTTTAGTAACAAAGAGGCTTTGGCGTCGGACTGTCGGAAATCAACGATGGAGGAATTGGTGTTGAGAAAGAAACTGGTGAAATGTGGTTCGAGTTCAGGGMTGTGTTCTGATGGCACCGGGAAAGAAAGTGGTCGAAAACGGAGGTGATGATATTAGTGGTTCGGAGGAAGTCAAAGGCGGGATTGGGAATCTAAAAGAGATGGGTCAGGACATAGGAATTCAACAACTTTTGCAAGGTATAATTTCTTCTTTACTGCAGATTTTAAGGAGAAGATGAATCATATGATTGGTTTTTTTTTGCCATTTTTAGACTGTTTTCAGGTTTGAAAAAGTGGTTCAATTTTGTTGTATGATTATCTTATATCTTGTTACCGTTTTCCGACCAATGTTTCGGAACACATTGTTGGAGTTTATGAGACGGAAGTAGGGATGGTGATTTACCTCGACCCGGTGTGAAATCCGATTCACCCGACGCAAACGGTGATTTCCCGCTAAAACGGGTCCTGGGGCCGGGGATCCCCGGTAGACTCAAACCGGGGTAGGGGGATGTTACTCAAACTGGGGCCGGGGATCCCTGGTAGAATCAAACTAACGGATATTTTTTATGGAAATTGACCGGGGTTTGACTGAGGACGAAATGTAAATCCCCGTACCCACCGAGGACCGGGGTTGGGCTGGAGGATATGACTACAAACCGGGGCTTGGGCCGGTGCCTAGACATAAGATTATGGTAAGAGCATCTCGTACAAATTCTCCAAAATACACAAGTAAAAAGTCAAAATCTTCAAAAAGATTTACCTTCATCTCCAATAGATTTTTTCGATAAACTCAAAGTATTATTTTATCTCTCCTATACATTTAAATTCAAACAATCTTATTGATAGGGATGAATAAAAAGTCATTAGTCCCTCATAAGTATTTTTTTTTTTTGAGAAATCTCCGGATTTGGAGAATTTCATCATCTCTCTCATACTTTCTCCATTTTGAATAAAGGTTTTGGRGAATTAAAGCAACGTTCCTCAAAATCTCCATTTTGAAGAATCCGTTGGAGATGCTATAACAGATTACGTGTAAGACTTGTGGTTGGTGTGGATGAGGAACGGGGTTGGAGACGTAGAGGGTAAGAAGTTTGGGGGGGGGGGGTGTTTGTTATTGAGCCAAAAGCACTCCTACTCGTGACTTGTCATGAAAACAGTAGTTCTATCATTTTCAGTAGAGGTCATGTTTGTATATATCTTGCTCTCGAGACCTAATTCTGAGTATAATATATTGGGTTTGTTGGTTTATGTATATATGAAATTATGAATGTAAGATCATGTATACARGAGCTTGAGAGTAGAGGTTCTTGTTGAAGTTTATATAAAAACATCCACTGTTAGATA